TGCAGATGGGAAAGAAAGGTGCAGCTCAGCTATGGGAGTGAAGAGGATGTTGAAATGTATTAAATATTAGTGGCTCACTATGACTTGAAAAAGAGTCAGTGCTGAAGGAGACTGCATGCAATATCTTATTTGGATGACTTGTGCTAATCTGTCCCTTTGGTAGGTTTTCTACAAAAAGGTTTTCCATTATCATCATTATAGTAGTCTTTTAGGTACCAAGGGAGGGGTGGGAGGAATGTCCTGTAGACGTGCCCAAAGATGAAAAAGTCATCTTGGAAAATTCCAAGATCTGCCTTTGTCTAAAATTATTATAGTTGCCAGTATTATGATATTATGTTGCCAGTAATATTGCTCCAGATCCAGCGTATACTTTACCATTGATACTTCATATAAATTCCATCAATAATGGTTGTTTTTATATCAGTTCAAACAGTACTGTAATCCATTTGTATGAATTTTGTTATTTGCATTCAGGCAGTCTTTTTGATCTATCAGTCTAGCTTTGTCTACTATCGGATGGGTCTTTGTTCCCGTAGTACTTCTCTAACGTTATTTCTGCTCTTGAGAAAACATCTTATCAGTTGCAGCATACTGGACCAGCATCTCACTAATGATTACAAGAATTTTGCAGGTTACATGCAGTGTTGTATTTTAAATTTCTGCCATTGGCTTTTTCCTTTCCTGCACACCTTTTTCAGTGCTTCATGTTGATATAGACTGAACGTAGAACACATGTTCATTAAGCTCTTTAGCCCACAATTGTTCACTTCTCTCCTACTGTTTACTTCATACATCCTCATTTTCAATCTGCACTTTGCTTTGATTAACCACAACACTTCATTCACATATTATTTTTTAATCCATTTTGCTATTTTGTATTAAAGAAAATATCCTATCTTTAATAAGCACCTACCTTATTCAGGCAATTACTGTTTGCAAAACTTTGCTAAAAATGTTCTATTTTTTTGTCCAACTCATGTATTCTCTTTCTGTATATATAACCACAACTTTTAGCTGGGGATGATGATGATGATACTAAAATTATATACTATTTGTGAGGTTCACATTGTGACTGAGTTTTTGCATATTGCCACAAAATATTTACTTCTGTGGCATTATGAAATATTATTTGACTCACAGCTGTTGAATAATTATTTCCTTGGCACATGGGAAAAGTAACCTGCTTATCTGAAAGTAATAAGTATAGATTTTGTACCAATGTTTCCCAAATATTGGAAAGCTGAGCCTCTTTGTACATGGAAACAAAATTAGTATCCCTTGCATTCCTGCCATGTGATGTTTAAATCCTACTGATCTTAATTTAAAACTTCTTTTCCACATTAATCTGGCAAGCTCAGCACTTTAAAAATGTAGTTGTAAATCTTCATAATGCTATTCTGTTGCCCTGTTCTTGATGGCTTTCATGAGTAATAAAATAATTAACAATGTTAACATTTGAAGTGTTTTCACTGATATCAGATTTAACACCCCATGCACTAAATGTGGCATTTTATGTCTCAAACCTATTTTTTACAGTTGTCTTCAAATCAAGGCAGACATCTCTGATTCAGTGACATTCAAATCACATTAGAAATGTTTTTCTCACAACCATAACGGTTGAAGACTTTGATTTTTGAGGAAAGAGTTGAGAATCTCATCTACTATCACTAATCATTTGGGCGAACACATTTTAGATATTAGATCATACTGCATAGTAACATTGTTACTTATTTTCCAAAGTTTTTATTTCTTATAGATGTTAGCAAGGTTATTTGGTCGCTCTGGTTTGTTGCTTGAAATATGTTAATTCTAATTTACTGAAGATAGAGTGAAAAGTAGTTGGGTGAATGAACAACTTGAACAGCCTATATTGAATGGAGCATGTATTAAACCCCTTTCTTTCTGGTTGATTACAGTTTTTAATTGTATGCTACTATTTTATTTTTTTTCCCCATGAGACCACTCCCTCACATAGTGTACAGGTCAAATATACAAAAAGGTATGCTTAGACAATAATAGATCTGTCCGTTTCTAATTTCTAGTGCTTTATTTTGCAACTTAAGTATTTTAATACAGTGTTTTGATAATGCAGTCCTACGAACAACAATAAAAATGGCAGAAATGTTAAAAAAAAAATTGGACATCCAGTTTCCCCTCATGTTTTAAAGCATGACAGATACCAATTTGAAATCCATTAAAAAATGCGTTTGCGTTACATTGTACAATTACAGATATACCTCTGCTAACTGATAATGATAACTGTGCTAATGCATTGTGAAAATTTAGTGTCCAGTAACTATAATTGTGATGTAGATAGAAAATTTCAGCTCATCTGATTACTTAATTGACTTGAACAGTCTTCAGATTATAATATCTGAATTAATAAGCTTTGATCTGTTCAGACAAACAAAGGGAAAGTACATTCCTTGTACTCATAATACACAGTAGTGAGACAGTAAATATTTCAGTGTTCAGTGACACATTTATTTCGCTTCTTATTAGTATTTGCAGAAGGATGAGTAAAAGAAAAAAAAAGAAATTGATTTTATTACAGTGGGACTAGTGCTGGTTATAGAACAGCTTTCATCTTCACACTTGTTTTTTTTCATGTATAGATCTTTTTCAGTTTCCATCCCTGGTTTCTGTTTAATAAGATATTGTTTGTTTTGAAATTTGAGTAACAACCCTGGCAGAGTGGTAAAAATACATTTCTCCGGATGTTTAAAAACAAAAATTACTCTAAACAGATTGCTTAAAAAGAGCAGATGGCAGATGTGTGAAATTTGGCATGAACCAAGTCATCTTCATTGAGAATTAATTTAGGGAGTTTAAAACAACTCTTGAGCAATTAAAATTTTATTTCTGAGCATGTCCAGTAGATATGTGCTCAGATTCTAGCAGAATTTATTGAAGTCCTACCCACTGATTACATCACTCCATCTTCTCCTCTTTTGCCATTCTGTGTTAAAACCCGGATCGTTTGTATCATTTAATTTGCAGCGTGTTGCTCAATCAGGGTGGGCCACTCAGCTTTTTTAAATGTTTTTATATCAAAGCAGGTTCTTTTCAATTCAACTCAAGCTCATCAGTGGTCCCACGTGCTGAGTGAAGGAGCAGCTCCCTTTAAAATAAAAGCAACAGCATACAACTAGGATCTCAGTGGCCCCATTCAGTATCCCCCAGATAATTTGCAAAAATTCACTTTTGCAGGGGGATAGCAAACCAACCCCTGTGAAATATATCTGCTGTATATTCTACCACGTTCTTATGTTGGTTTTTTACATGAAGAAGGTTATAAATGTCTCAATGAATTATGCATAGTAAATATAAAATAAATACATATACACAGGCAGACAAGTTTTTTTGGGTGAATCTGATATCTTTTATTAGACCAACTTAAATAGTTGGAAAAACAATTTTTAAGCAAGCTTTCAGGTTCAAAAACCCTTCTTCAGACTAAGGAAGTTTCAGCAGTTGGTATGTGCTCTTCCCAAAATCTTGCTAAAAAATTGTTTTTCCAACTATTTAAGTTAGTCTAATAAAAAATATCAGATTCACCCAAAGAACCTTGTCTGCCCTTTGTCCTTAGACCAACACGGCTACAACCTACACCCCTGTATACATATACACATAAATGCATACATAAAGTATAAGTGTTAACAGCACTAGTCATATTATGATAATCATAATATTGTTATAATTATGGTGTTAAGGGCGAATGAACATTTTTGGAGATCCTGATATATAACTGTTGCTTGAGCTCTGTGAAAACTGTTGTAATCACTCTCTTAGTTCTAAAAAGTGTCTAAATATTGAATGATAAAAATGTAAAAAACCTCAAACAGTTCTTACTTTCTTCTGGCTTTACCATTGCAGTGGATGGGATGTTTCATTTTTGTGAAAGTTTTAAATGAATTCAGTTAAAAAAATTCTATTAGGTTAGACAATTCTACAGTTAATTGACTGTTCAACTTTCTAAAAAGAAGTATGCCGCCTTATATAACACAGCTAAGACCATCTATATTTGAGTAATAGCTCAGTGTTGGGGATTTCTTTGTAATGTTGTTTCTTACGTTTAATCTCTTTGGTTTCACTTTCAGGAGCTGGAATTTTCCAATCTTTTTGCAGTCCTTCACTGTATCCACTCATTCTTTGCTGCCAAAGTGGCTTGTTTGGACCCCTTATATGTAAGCAGTCAAGCCACAGCTTCTGCTGCTGCCACAACTTCTGGTACTGGCAAGTTAAAATATGCTACTTGACATCTCACATTTTAGCACTACTACTTACCATCAGTGCAAAACAACATATAAATATTCATCAGATCTGAACCTTTGGGGAGCTATGAACATGGAAACCATCCAAGAGACAAGTCTTGTTGCAGTTTCAGCAGATAAATGGTCACATGGGACTGTAAATTCATCTCTGTTCTGCAAGACACCAGTAAATAATTGAGCTGAAAACCCGGAATAGGATGGATATACTCTTAGTATGATCTATTTGTACTTATATAGTGCTTTAAGCAACACTGGAAGCAAATGAATAAATGACACAAGGAAACACTTCATATTTAATAAAATTTTCAACTCTCTATACTAACACACAAATAGAATGGTCATTTTCTTGTTTTCAGATGTTTTTATGAAAATATACTAAACTCTGAGTCTGAACTTAATGCCGTATCATCATATTATAAATGATACAACCACAAGGAAGAGACATATAGTATGTGGCAGCAAAGAGATGAGCATGAAATGGCACTTGTGTAAGTATCTCCTCAAAGAAAAAAGCACTTTAAACACTGTTGTAAACTCATACTTGTGTCCCTCCATGAAACCATGCTATTGTTGTTTATTTTGTTTGTCAATTTTAATAATAGAAATGACAAAGGTATAGCCATAATAGTCCGACAGGCAAAGCTGCGTAAGGTGGGAAAAAACTTTCCAGGCACAAGATTTTCTTCTTGAAGTGAAAAAAAGATATGAATTCAATTTAATTGTAAGTGAAGACCAGTAAGTAATACATCTGGTACATTTTCCTTGCTCATTCTTCTAATATCCAACAGCCTCCATTCACAAAACATGAGTATTGAATTTTGCTTCAGACATGATATACCTGGCACATTGTTTCAGTATTGAATTCTGATTTCATATCACGAACAGGAAGATAGAACCTCTTTTCCACCACAGGCTCTAAATATAATAGGCATTATCAATTATTCCGGAAAAATTACACACATTCAATTCATACCAATTAATGGTATTGTTCCTTCAAATTTTTAGTACCAATTAAATTATTACATGACATTTAAAATGTAATTAATTGTGCCAATATAATACATAATATCTTTACATATTAAAAGTACATCACAATCCAAGACCACATATTTTACATTTCCCAATGAATGTAAGTTCAAAGTGTTGTAAATTTGAAACTACTTTTCATACAGACAGCATTGATTAGCCTCCAAAGATATGCTACTTGAATACCATTTCTGAAAATTACTTAATTTTGTTCTAGCACACTCATCACCAAATATGGCCAATTGCTAGAAATGTAAAGGTGATATAGCTGCAAGATAGTATATTTCAAGCAGGATCACATAACTCAAATGAATTAATTATTTAGGCACATAGCACTTATGAATTATATTGCAGGAAGATAACCTGATGCAGCCAAGGTATTTGTATAATTTTAAATGCTAATTGTTAATCTGCTCTGTTACATTTTTATGACAGAAAATATGTTTTAATAGAAGGAGAAAAAGTAAAACATCAAAATGTTGCAAAAGAACATTTAAAAGGAAAGAGCTAAGTAATTTAGTATGAATTTAAGTATCATTTGCACATTTTTGGCTCCACTATTGTAATTTCAAATACACTGGTATTTCAGAAAGTGCCAGTACTTTTCAAATAAAAGCCATTTTGTCTGCAATGTTTATTGGCAGGACCACATGACTTCTCTATATAATCATAAACGATGGGTGTGTTCAAAAATCAGTATTCCCCACCGCTATGAAGTTTACCATTCATTGTGCACACAAAGCTTTTATTTCAAAATTTCTGTTATTGTCTGAAATGTCCTCACACATGAGCAAACCTGGGCCCTGACCTGAGGTCCTTCCATGCATCATAAGCTGCAGGAGCATGGGCTTACTTCCCTTATTTCTTATTTCAACTTGTTATAAATTAGAAAATTACATATACACAGGTAAAAATTATAAGCCCTTTTTATTGTTCTGCCTTGTGTACCACAAAAATGAAATCAATCATTATTCTAGGTACTATATAAATAAGTATATCTTCATATGTGAATGCAGGTGAATGTTTTCTCCGAAGTGTTCAGTACAATGTGAACTGTTGCAACAAATGTAATTGTTGGTATTTCTGTCTGCTTGATTTGTTGCACAAATATAAGGATTTGTGTACATAAGAAAACCACCTTTTAAAAAAAATTGAAAATGTTAAATACTGCTTATATGAATTGCTCCTAGTTGTAATAGTAGTGTTAGAGTGATGCCGCATGATAGGCCAGGAATTATGAAAGAGGCAAGATTTTTGGAGGGTGATATTTTTTATTGGACCAATTGCATAGTTGAGATAAAGATAGGCAAGCTTTCAAATGCAGGGTATTTTTATTTAGGTGTGAGGAAAAAGAAAGATAAGCACAGAAATTGTTAAGAACAGCGGACAGACCTGTGAAATTGGAGGGGGCTGAGGAGTGGGGAGAGAATTCCCAGGAGTAGCAGACAAGCAATTAGCAAAAGAAAAGAATATAGATTACTGGGAGATCAAGACCTATCAAAAAGGGGAGGAGGGTCATTACCACCTGTTGTCTGTGTGAAGAATTTCAGGACTTAGGTAGATTATAGTGTCATAAAATCAATAACAGTGCTCAATCCTTGGTTCCTGGCGTCCAACCAGCTTATCAGTTTTTGTGCCCAAGCAATCCTCAATGAACTTGAGAACACATTTCAGGAAATTTGTATCAGAAGACGCATAATAGTTGCTGATCTCCTGTGAATATTAAGTCCAATTACAGTGATTGCACTGTTAAATAGTCAAAAACTGCCAACATATTTGCATAGTTACCATGGTTATTTGTCATGCTAAGCAAAGTGAAGTTCTATGGAAGTCAGTTAAAACAATATATAGTGATAGAGACCATTTTGTGTATGTAAATTCTCCATGTGGTAAGGGCCAAATCCCTTTGAAGTCCATGCAAAACTGACATGGATGTCAATAACATCAAGGATTTGGTCCTAGGAGAATGAAAACCCCAGCTGTTTTGAATCGGAAATTATAGAAGTCTAAGGGGACTAAGAGTGGTAACTCAGCTTCTTACTCCTGTCAAGAAGGCATCTACTGGAAACATTGTGACACAACATTGACAATTTTAAAACTGAAGCCCAGTTTTCTCATAATAACAATTCTCTTCTTCCTGTTTTTCTGTTCCAAAATGCTCCCCTCACTGTTTTATATTATATTATACTACATCTATGACATAGATTGAAAAAAATGATTTTTGTCACATTTGTTCATTTTATTAGTCTATTTCAGGGCTAAGTAGGATTTTTTTGCTTTCAATTTCATTGTGCCATGTGAAACACATTGAACCTTAGTAGTCTGACATGGAATGCTTTAAGTTAAGTGAATGTACGGTACTGTATGAATAGCTTCATAGATCCAATAGACTCTCTAAAGCCAGATCCAATGGTGCAATACGTGTTTGAGAACTGCATTTAGCCCAAAGCAGTTTAAGAGGTTTAGTTAAGATATATAACGATGAATATAATAACATGCAATAAAGAATTCTATGTCAAAAAGTACTGTTTTGATTTTTTAATATATTAGAATATGACTTGAAAGCAAAACTATTCCACTCAGAGCTGAAATCGGTTAATGAAAATGAACAGACAAGGCAAGATTCTCCCTTCCAATTCACCACAATCTTTGTTACATATTCTGTATAGAAAGAGCTGTCATGGTCACCAGTGGGAGTACTGATCATGTAGCAAGTGCAAATTTTTTTAAACAGGCAGTAGTGCAAATTGATGAAAATGCTTTGTTGATTTAGGCTCTCTCAATGAGTGGGATTCACCATTATTTTGGTTTCAGGTTGTAAGATTATATACTGTATTGGGCTGGTTGCATTTCTTTCTTGCATACTAACATTACAGAAACAAATTGTTTCCCAATTATTCAGAGATAATAGGGTAGGTAGGGTATCCATCCTGAGGAAAGGTAGGATATTCATCCTAAGGAAAAACAATTGAAAACTCAATATTTGAACCAGGTTTGGCAAATTCTACCATGTGTGTTATGCAGATACTATAAACCATGAGAAATAGTAAGGTATGAATTACAGCCGTGTTAAATGACTAAATATCAAAAGCTTCTCCTGAATGCATTTATGAGACTCCCATTTAAATCATTATGAATCCCACACATGTCTGTATAACAACAGACTATATGTATATATATATGCTGCTATTAGTACAGGAAATATTACAGTCCGATATCACATGCATTGTTAAGTAATTAAGGTCTTTATAAGTTGATACATCCACACAATTATCAAAACTAATGAAGTTGTCCTTGAACTAGCATTTTCTGGGGAAAGGCTGCCTGAGAATTAATAACCAACAGTACTGTTTTTAAAAAAAGCTGCAATAAAATATGAATTGTGATATCCATGATATGGATCCTGAAAGTTAGGTTGATTTTTTTTTTTTAAACAAATTGTACTGTGCTTGATATTATCTTATATAATACCTAGGGTGACCATATGTCCTGGTTTGCCTGGGACAGTCCCAGATTTCAAAGGCCAGTCCCAGGTGGTTGGTAAAAATTAAAACAAGAGTCCCAGTTGTAGGCCACAGTCCAATGGGAAGGTAGAATGGCATAGTGTTTCAACTCCCCACTGGACTGTGCCTGCACCCCTACCCGCAGGCCTTTTTCACTGCCTGCAGCAGCACCACTGACTTGTTGGAGGGGGTCAGTGGAACAGTGTCCTGGATTTCCTTATGGTCACCCTAATAATAACATCCCCTCCCCAATGGACCACTGTCAGTTATGGTTAAAAATATTTGATTTTATCTCATTTGGTTCATGATAAATTCTAGATTCAGATAAACTTCCAGAGGTAAGCTTAGCATTTCATGCCTAGAAGATAGATCTGTTCTGTTACAAAAATGCTGTGGAGTCTGAAGATACAATACTCTGAATTTTCCACTGGTTCATTTTCTTAAATCTATTTACAAAATACAGGACTAGATTTTTAAAGCATCTCAACATGCAGCAACAAAATAACTTTTGTGAAAAGTGCTGCTTTAGGTGCCTGTACAATAAATGCAGAAAAAATAATGGCCCTAACTCTGGGTGCTAACCAAGTGCTTTTTGAACATCCAGTCTCTAGTTTCCAACATTGAACTGCTTAAACCAGAATTCTTAGAAATACTGTTATAACGATCCTGTAAAATGATAATACACCGTCTCCATGTTCTTTTGGCTTTGATAGATTAAATGGACTTACTACAAAATTGATCCCTAATTCTATGGAAATCTATTCTTTTGCTTAGCTTCAATAGAACTACTCATCATTCTTACTGGTAAGCACTTGAGTAGATCTTGGTAAAGCTGGGAACTTCATTTCTAATTCAAAAGCTTCAGCTCCCTTAATTTTCAGTCTATAGTATATTGTTTTTATCACATACAGTTAACATATTGAATGTCACAAGGCAGTCTTGTAAATATACAGTTCCTATCATTAAAAAGTCCGTATATACCAACAATTATTGTACAAAGGCATCTCAGTTACCATAATTTTCCCTATGCTAGAAATAAATTGAATTTGATAACTGTGTGGTAATGGAACTTATTAGCACATGCTGAATTTTTAAGTTATCACTAAACATGTACCTTCTACTGGCTCCTTGGAATCTCCTTTTTAAATAAGTGATACCTGGAAAATCATTCGGTCTCAAAACAGTTTTAATTTTAAACCTTTACATTTGAATGTGCAATTGTTTGCATGTGTGTTAGGGTTGAATCCTCCCTTCAATACTTATCTCAAGCTAAGGGTGTCTATATGGTTGCACGGATGGAAAGAATCTTTGATCAAAATAAAGAAATGATTGTGGAAGCCTGCTGCAGCTCAAGCCTAAGTTTCCCTTTCTACATGATGCAAGACCTGAATAGCAATGGTCATCTTGCCTTGGCAATACTT